TTACTAGAAGAAAATTTTTAAAATTTTATCATAGAACTACATTATATTTATATATTGCCTATCTGCAAAACAAACGGTGAATGGGGAGTTGGCAAGGACTCCTCGGGGATTGCACAGGTTGGGGAGTGTGAGGGTGACTCCCGGGGAGTACACATTTCTAGGGACTCTTGACAGACTTTCTCTTATGGGAGGCATAAGAAAAAAATTCTGCTCTTCGAGGAGTTTTGTAGGAGTGCTTGCACGACTTTCTTCAACAGGACTCTCGACAGGACTCCTCATCAGGACTCCTTACGATTCCTGCTGGAGCTTTTCATAAACTTGGGACTCCCGTTGGAGTTTTGCTGGGAGTTTCGACTAGCGGAGGGGGCAAAAACCGATATTCTAGGATCATGATACCATATAGGATCATCGAGCATCATTTTGTCAATATTAAGAGAGCAAATTTCTATATTATCAATCTTCATTTTGAAAACTGAACTGAATTAACTATCTAAGTTGTATTCTTTTTCATAAACTAGTTAACATCTTGAACTTCCTCCAGACGAAATATACAGATGTTCTTTTTCGTTGCCAAATCTTTACCTTCGTCATTTGTGAGGTCTATTCCGCGTTTTATGTCTCGATTTTGGTGCAACATATAACTAGAAAATGTGAGAGCAAAGTTTATGTTTATGTAGTTCAATATTCACTCTTGCTCTTTAGAGAGTGTGAATGAGCAGATATTAATGTGAATATCGATGTTCGTTGTTAAACCGAATCTAACATCCTGTGAATGAAATGCTCTGACTACATCGCTGTTCTCTGTGCATCAGACAGGACCGAACTGTCACTTACTACTTGGTATAGGCTTTAAACATCACTGCGATCTTATACCGAGTTTTTCCACATTAAAACATTAAATTTTATACGAGAGAAAAAGTATTTTTTTACAACTTCAAAAAAAAATGAGATCAAGAATAGCAGAACATTTTAATCTTTATTAGTTGCTTATAGCACTCACTCTAGATGATCACTGGATAAACGTTTTCGGGTCTCAACAGAGATTCGCTCAACGATCAAAAAGCCCTAGGTGCGTCATTGGCTCATATTTTATATCAAATAATGTAATGACATCTATCTTGAAAAGAACTTCACTAAAAGAACTTTTGACATTTTTGTGCACGGTTACAAAAATGTGCATGGAGATATTCTTGTGAAGAAAAGACCGATTAGTGGTTGATCTATATCCCATTGGTTGATTATTATATTTATTTTATGTCCAAAAGTATAGCATGTATATTGTCGGGAATAAGTATGGATAATAGTCAATGATAATAGAGATGGATAATAATCCTTAGAAGAGCTATTATCCATTCCAAAAGACAAGGCATGTGGTTGTTTTTCAAATAATTCAAAGACGATACAAGATCGAGGCTTGCAATTTTTAGAATCAAAATAGGACAGTTTAGCCTATATTTTCGTAAACTAAACCATTTTATTTTCCGAAAATATTCGAAAGACTGGTTTTCTTGGAGAAAAACCAGATCAGATCTCCGAAAACTGAGCTAGCAATCTGTCAGTTCTTTTAAACAGATAATCAAAAGAGTTCCCTTCAAAAATGGGAACTCAGAGACCGTTAACCTTATGTGGTTGAAGTGCGGCATCGGATTTTCTCAGAGTCCCAGCATAAATATTTCTTCAGCTGTGTGTAAACTCGAAAATGAATGGAATCATAGGCAATCGATCACGCTCAATCTCGTGGCAGTATTTGCTATACTATAATGAAATATTTGTATTCCGCTTGTATTCTGGAAGAATAAAGCTTATATCAAAAACAGAACACAAGAAACATATCAAAAAAATGATAACATCCAGTCGATTGCACAACTTCAACAGTTGTACGGAATATAGACACAGAACAGTGGATTTAGTTTTGCAATTTCAAAATTCGAAAAAGTCTCACTAACTTGCATAAAAATGTTTTTCTAACTACAAATCTAGACAGAATAGCGAAATCAGACTCTACTAGCCTCTAGCCACATATGTCAGTTTCAATTTAAGACCTTTCCGAGCTCTCCACGACGCTTCACTACCGAAAAATCTTCCAGCTACGAAATTGTGTTAAGGTGAAAATTGCTTTCGATATAAAAGGCTCCAATCGTTGAGGAGTGTTCACTTTAATAAGACTTGGAAAAAGAAAATATGACAACTAGAGTTGTTCTCTTTAACTTATTGAAAATACGTTTTTTTATTTTATTTAAATACAAAAATATATTGTACAAGAATAAACCTCGACGACGTTCACAGACATATGAAAACATAATTCTTTTTAAAAGCTTCGTTTTGAGTGATTTTTGTTTAACTCTGAGAAACAAAAATAAAAAGTAACACAATTTCAATTGATTTATTTTACAAAAAGAACTGTGTATGAAGCAAAAAGCCAGTTCATTTTTGTTTAATCTTGGATACGTAGTCACTTTGAATCTTCAACATCTTCTGTTGAAAAAGACTGTGATAAGTGTTTTTCTTTTTCAAATGTTATAAGTTAGAGTGGCTTCGCATGTACGTTAATACCACTGATTTCAGTTTCAAGAGTACTAAACTATAAACTATTCGGCTTGTCCAGCTAACGGTCTCCTTTTTTTTGTTCATTTCCAAAAAATTTCCAATAATTTTTTGGAAGCAGTACTCCTGCGAGTTTTAGTTTGCAGTATCCTGCAAGTACTCTGGTTAAGATAAAAATAAAGTTCTTTTGGGCATGCTGAGTACCAGGGGCTGCTCTCCCAAGAACGAATGTCACAGCGTTACTGTAATAAAATAATCTTTCTGCGATCCACGAGGATCCTGGAATGAAATTTCTTTTACTAACGTGTCGACCGTTCTCTCCTCGACATAACCGCTTACAGAGAAAAATGTTCACCGGTGACTTTCGCTGAAAATTTTCACAAAATCTCCCAGATATCAAAGAAAAAAGGGCCTTTTTTGTCACAGAGTCACCCTCTGGAAATTTGCTATAAAACTGCTAAACTCAAACCAATTTTTCTCCTTTTTTTTACTGGAGATAGAGGGTGTTGAGCTGCGTCGAATAGCGCTTGAATGAACTCTCTGGCAATTTAGTTTGTCAAAAATGTCAGCGTCACGCTTGGACAAGCCATGTTATTTTCTTATTGTCTCTTTTCCAGCGACCGATGAAGGCTATATATCTGGTCAAATGAAACAAATTGATGAATATGAACGAGATTATCATTCGGATCAAGCCATTGAATGGTATACAAAAGACTCATTCGTCTATAGACTCATTAATAAAGCACTTCGAACACAAGATCTCGATTTATTATACATGCTACGTTTTCATGTACGTGATCTGTCAAAGTGTTTGAGAAAAAAACATCAAGAATTATATGAACTTGGTGTTGACATTGACATGGATGAATTAACCTTGTATCGTGGTCAGTCTGGTGTAAATATTGTAAAAGAATATGAAAACAGTATTGGAAAAATAATATCAACAAATGGTTATCTTTCAACAACATTAACGAAAGAAGTAGCAAAAGTTTTTGGTGCTATAGGACAGCAATAGAATAATGAATCCATTTTATTTGAAATAAATGTAAATTTAAAGTCAATGTTATCATCAAAAGTTACGGTAGGCGATGTACATTTATTGAGTGCAATGCCTGAAGAAGACGAACATTTATTTGATTTAAATGCAACATTTAAAGTCGACGACATTCAAAAAGAATCAGAAAATAATATTCCATATTTAAAAGTTAAAATGAGTATTGTTGAAGACAAAGGTGAAGAATGTATGATTAAACATATTAAATTACGACAATTATATGATGGTACAGGATTTGCACAGGCATTTTATGCTGTACCAGATGTTAATGTATTTGATACCATTATTAAACTAAATAATATCTGTAATCGTTTTCAACTATTTGATTATTTTATGTTACATAAACCACTCTATGTTGAACCCAATGATGAACCAATGAATTTTTACTGTATTGGTGCAAGATTGTGTCTTCAAGTTAATCAAGTTAGTAGTGAAAATCTAACTGAACCTGATAAAGAGACGTACGAGAAAGTGTTGTCACATTTTAAATTGTCCTATGACATGTTATTAAATAATAATCGTATAAATGATTCTTTATGGCCATTACGCGGTCTTGGTTATATTCATTATAAGTTAGGTAAATATTTACAATCTTACGATTATTATAAAAATGCATTATCGATTATGGAAGATGATGATTTTAATTCGGCTGTGTGTAACAGTTGCATTGGTTTAATTTACGAAAAAATGAAACAATCCGATGAAGCGTTAAAATATTATAAAACTGTATTAGAAATGGAAGATCGAACACTGCCAGTATTGATTGCAGTTTGAGACTGTTCACATATTATCCGATGACAAAGAGAAGGGCAGTACCCGAAATATAACAGAAGAAAAGAAGAAAACAGACAAATGTATACTGTCAAACAGCAATTGCAGAAAAGTAAATTATTTCTAATTTTACAGTTTATCGAACCTTATTAGAAGAGTAAAATTTTTACTAATGAAGACTTTTTTTGTTAGTGCTGATTAGACAGGCTGACTAGTATGAAACAAATATTCCGTGAAAAGGGCTAACAGAGTGAGACAACTCAGCTGTTAGTTAGACTACATTACAACCTATTCCATACCAAAGATAAATGTGGAAGGATTTTTGCTGCCCTCGGAATCCTCGTCTCGCGGAGTGCTAAAACTTTCAGTCGCTCACAGGAGCCGCCCAAAATGCTTCTTTTTGCTTCTCATCTTCCCATCAGAAAATTTTTCAAATTGTTTTCTTTTACAATACCACTCCAATTTAATGCCGCTCTCCATTGCTTCTTGATTCAAAATTTATTCGGCTAAGGTTGCAAAGACAATCCTAGCTCTTGTCACCTTTCAGTGCATTTGTTCTATCATCCATTAAGGTGTGTTCTCCTTCTATTATTATATTTTGCAAACTCTCTTAAAACATATCCTTGTACATTAGTACAATGAGAAAGCATATCCCAGTCTGAATATATATCCCGATCGAACTACAGAATCGCCGGCCGCAATTAGATCACGAAAAATTTCAATTTGAATATTTTGCAATTTGTGAAGTCTTTTCTCAACATGTTGAGTAGAGGAGACTCTTCTCTAGCAATCTATGTAAAAATCTGTACGATTTGTCTACTCATTAGAAAGCAATTATCATTAGAATAAAGACATGTCCGACTTTTTTTCCTTTTTCGAAATTAGATCAAACAGTGTCTCTTCTGTTCCTAAATAGATCTTGTTCATACAAATACGTGGCGTTTTACACTCGTTTTAGAAATAAAGTTGTGGATGTTACCCGAAGTTTAAAATCGAAATATATGTTTGCAACAAAATCTGTTTACAGGAGTCAGCACAACAGGTGCTAAAAAACTAGACCTTTCGAGACGAACTTTCTCTATACTTTTGCCTTCTGTAGTATTTCACAGATTTTTCAAAGCAGTTATTCTGTGTAAAATCTGATTTCTGCAGGAATAACAACCGAATTTTGTCGGTTGCCAATCATTTTATGGACTAATCATGTGGTTTGAGATGCATTCGTGATGAACGGTGATGACTTTATTATTTTTTTTCTAAACAATGTCTGTATAAGTGTCAACGACTGGATGAGATCAGCAAATAAACACCTGATATTTAAACAGCTCCTTTGTTGTTTGCAAACTGGCCATTTATTAGAACTTCAAGGAATAGAAAGTTTTTCTAGAGCCAGAGAATACTACGAACGAGCACTAAGTTTATATGAAAATAAAGTATTTCCACGTGATGAGATTAATCTGTCTTTGTGTCACGCTATTATTGGTAATTGTTATTTTAATCGTGGTGATGATCAAATGGCATGTAAAAATTACTTAAAATCATTAAATTCATATGAACAATTATTTGTCCGTTATCCGTCGTTAGAGGTACGGGTGATGTATATATTTTTGCGGCGTCAGAGAAACTGAAAGACAAACACGAGAAAGAAAATGTATTTGCCTCGATTGGGAAACGAACCCAGTGGCATCAGTTGTCTAGGCCAATGTCCCTGAGCCATGAAGCACAGTCTAATCACATTTCCTTTCAAGTGCATGACATTAACTCCGAGTTTCTTGAACGGGCAGCATCCCTCATGAACGAGGTGGTACTGCACCTCTTAGGGAGAGCTTTTTATCCTCTTTGCGAGGATTTGAAAGTGCCTATTTTATTTGTCGCTGTAAAATCATTCACTCGAAAGAAAGTGTATGATTAGACTGTGCTTCGTAGCTCAGGGTATGAGCATTGGCCTAGAAAAGCGATCTCACCAGGTTCAATTTCCGGTCAAAGCATACATTTTCTTTCTCGTGTTTGTCTCTCAGTTTCTCTCACACCGCAAAAAATATGTGCACTAATTGACGTCCTGTTTCTCTTTCCAAGGTACGATTAGTTATTGTTGGTTGTCTATTTAAAATTGGTATGACTTATTTTGAAAAACTATTTGATTCAATATTCACCATAAATAACATCATTACTTTCAGTGTATTATTGTAATGATTATGATTGAAAATTGCATCAGATAGTAAAACAAAATTGTATTTCTCTTCAAACAATGGTGATGCGATTTGTGAACGACTTCTTATACAAATGCTAAAGAATGTTTTCAACGTATTATCCAATTTTATTCGGTAGATGAGTGCCCGTTCGATAGTTATGGTTTGACACAATTATATCTTGGACAAATTATATATAAAAACAAAAATTATAATCAAGCATTAAAACAATTACATTCAGCAGAAAAATTTTATGAAACAAAAATTAAAGATGATTCAAAATTAGCAGAATGTTCTAGCTTTATTAGTATGAGTTACTTTAAACTAGAAAAATATCATGAGGCGCTAGATTATGCATTGAAAACAATAAAATTATTATTACAACCGAAAGAATCAACAACAAATACACAGCAATTAACAACAAATAATTTATCGTTTTTAAAACAACAAACTGGTTTGATGCAAAAAGATGTGAAGCAATCCACTCTTGTGGGTGATCAAAAAGTTATTTCAGAAACATACAGGTTTGTAAAAATATTGTCTAATGGGTGACGAGAAATAATGACATACTTTTACAACTTATTTTCGTGCATTTAACTGAGATTCTAACGCTTCATTCTCGGCTCATTCGATAGAGAATTTTTTGCTCTACAAAATTTATTACCGTCTTTCATTACATATTATTTTATTATCTAAAAAGATAGTGTAGAGTAAAGGCATGTAAAAAGTTTAACTGCAGCGGAAGAAACGACTTGTATTTTTTTTTGTATTCTGCGTAATTAATTCTTTAATAATGTTCCTGTTAGCTCTTTATTATTGGTACTATGAGTAAAGAAGGTGATGTTTCATCCAGACCCCTCGTTTTTGACAAGTTTTTCGTGATCCGAAAGCCCTGTAAATTGACTTTTTACAGGGCTTTCGTAACCCTATTACTCGGGTCATATCCTCTCTACGAGATAGTCAGTCACTAGGATCACTAACCGGGCTTTCGTAACGAATGCTTCTTCTTATTGTAAATGAAAGAGAAAACAGATAGAAACAGTGAGAGTGAATGAGTACAATCACACATAATTTCAACTTGAAAAGTAAATACACACTTCGTTACAAAAGCCCTGTAAAAGACTGTTATGAAAGTCCTGTTAGAGGACATTAATCTTCAACTATTTTACTGTAAAAAGTACACAGACTTCGTTGCGAAAGCCCCTTTAAATAGTGTTACGGAAGCCCTGTCATAGCATCTACTTAGACATTAATCTTTTTGTATTATCTTTACGAAAGCCCGGTAAAAAGTGTTATGAAAGCCCTGTTTATTTAAATTTATGTCTTTTTAACGTGTTACGAAAGCCTTACTTTTTACCGAGCTTGCGTAATGCTGGGGGTCTGGATGAAACCTGAACGTAAAGAAATCGTCGTGACTTAATTAAGGCGCACGTAATTCAAAATTTAAGCATTATTTTATTTTTGACTTTAATAGACATATTCTGATAGAGGAATGCGAGCTAAATCCGAATAACACATTCTTTTTGCTTTATGACCTTTCTTTCTTGATGAAAATCGTGAAATACGAAAAGGGTGCTCTAAACGGAAAAAAACTCGTCCTCTCAGAAAAATGGCTCGAGTTTTATCCCGTCTGATTTTGAAGTTTTGAAACCTTTATTTTCCGATTTAGCACCACAAAGTGAATATGAAAATGTGGTTTTGAAGTTCAGCACATCTCTTTTGGAGTTCGAAAAAAAATTCGTTCCTGCGAAGACCCAAAAACGAGTTCGTTCGCTCAAAAAAGCATCAAGATTTTTACCTTAAGAGATGAAGTCTTGAATTTTATAGCATTCGAACCGCCGTGAAGCGGAGAACACAGTTACAGCTTCAGAGTTTTCATTTTTTCCTTTTCTGTCGAGAAATTTCACTATTTCTAAACCGGGAGCGAAAAAATCGAAACTGTGCCCGTAGTTCTCAATTTTCTCCACCAGAACTCATCTTTTATGCAATAAAAGTATCATATTCGGAGTCAGCGTCCAAAACTGAGTGGAATGATATCTGTTTTGAAAGTTTTTGTTGAATTTCACTTTTGGGCGAAAATTGCAGTAATTTTTTCAACCTGAAAATTCGAAAAAAACAAAAGTAGTCGGATAGGATAAAAAAAGTATATCAATCGTCTCATAAAGCAAAAAGAATATGTTATTCGGATTTAGCTCGCATTCCTCTATCACAATATGTCTGTTAAAGTCAAAAATAAGATAGTGCTTAAATTTTGAATTACGTTCGCCTTAATTTCCAAGGAAAAATAATATTTTTCCTAACATTTAACCGCTACCAACAGATGGTCTTAAGATTGTGAGGTTTTTCATGTACCTATTTTTATCTGTATATCGTATAGTTTCATGAATTCGTTTTGACATCAGAAGATAAAAGATTTTCTGCTCTACAAAACCTCCTGTATCGCACACTTATACAATATCATTCGACTAGCTCTTTCCCTGCTTTTTTCAAAATCTCACGTGACAGAAAAGCAGCGTAGTCTGGATGATAGCACTCAAGCCTCAGGACATTGATATATCACCTCCTTCTCTCAGTTACCATATTATTTCTCAAAAAATTATACAAAAGCCGAAAAGCCATCAAAATTTTGATGATAAGTCGCAGTTTCACATTTTATGTATCCCTCACTCTACATTATCTTTTTTAGATAATAAAATAATATGTAATGAAAGGTGGTAATGGACTCTGTAGAGCAGCAGATTTTCTATCGAATGAACCTGGAAGGGGGTCTCAGAATCTCAGTTAAGTGTCCGAAAATAAATTACAAATATGTGTCATTATTTCTGGGCCACCAGCCAGATAACTAAATTTATTCAATTCTTTACATTTGAGAATAGATTCATTGGCGATATATATGAAAAATTAGATAAAAATGAACAGGCTATATCAAATTATGAAGATTCTTTGAAAATAAGTGAAAATCTTACTCCGATATACCAATCTGAAACAGTAATCACATACACAAAATTAGCACAAATTTATCGAAAAATGAATTGTCATGATGGTGAAGCAATGAATTATTATACAAAAGCGCTAAAACTATTGAGAAGACTCTATTTAACAATCAGTGGATAAACGTCTACAAATAACTTTATTTTTAACGTCAATTATATATGAGGTTAAAAGAAAATGGAAAGACAAATTATAACACTGAAAAATTAAATAAAGAGACGTTCAAAACGGCAGCACCTGGTCGTGGACGGATAATATTTTCCGTTTTTTATTAAATATTATCAAAACAGTTTTTCCTATCTCTTCGTACATACAACGATGTGTATCTTTCCCCCTCAGAAAAAAACTTTTTTGTCTTACATCCGATTTTGATCAGACTTTCAGCAATTGTTTGCCATATCAAAATGTGATTATGAAATTTTTTGCCTTTCTATCTCTTACCATTCCGGAATTTTCCAGAGTCCAAGGTCAAAAACCCACCTCCACTGTGGAACACTTCTTTTAAATATACTTCAAGCAAGAGATCTTGGGTTGGTTGTATTTTAAACTAGATACCTAACTGCGTGGACTGATGGAGCCAGATTTTTAATTTAGATCTTCGTTGGTTTTCTAGAGACCTAAGGTGCTAAAAAAACTCAAACCGTTTCGGGTTTTCCAGAGATTCTTAATTTTCTAGAAAACTAAGATCTAATTCAAAACTAGGCTCCTCAGTCCACGCAGTTAGGTGTCTAGTTTAAAATAAAACCAACCTGAGATCTCTAGCTTGAAGTATATTTAAAAAACGTGCTCCACACTAGGTACGTTAGAACAAAAAACGTGTTTTGAGAGAAAACGCTGTGCATTTGTTCGTCTATTTTAAAACATGTAGGAATTTGTTTGAATACCCTGGTTTTCAAAACTTCTGGAAAACTTCCTCGAAAACCATGAAAAAACAGTTCTAGGCTCGAAAGCGACACAGATTCTGACAGCAGGCACTCCAGGCTAGCTTTCCATGTGCTTGTCCACAAATTGACTTTTTTGATACAAAATCATCATTTCTGAGGGAGGTGGCCCTTAAGGATTTGCTGAGTTGAGTATATTATCATTAGGGTATATCTATCATAAGTTCTGAGCCTCTCCGTATTTTGACTATAACATTTTTTCTTTTCAACGCTCGAACATATGTCCGAGCGCTGAAAAGAAAAAAATGTTATAGTCAGAAGACGGACACGCTCAGAGCTGATGAAACATATTTTATCAACTATTATCAGCACGACTGGCTCTTCTTCGAAATAGTCCGTTCGTCATTCGGGACACTTCTGGCTTTGTCAAAAGGATTTCGAAGTTGAATTCGGAAGATACGAAAAAACAAATGATTTCGTTTGATGTCG